TCTCTAAGCTCCAATCCAACCCCTTAAGATACTAAGAAACTGATTTCAGCAGTTTTTAACCACTTCTAACATTTCCATGCTGGACTTTGCTCTTTCTCACCCCAATGTTCCTTTGGCTGTGCAGGAAGCAGAGATGCTGCGCTCCATTTCTTTCCACCCTTCAGGAGATTTCATCCTGGTGGGCACTCAGCACCCTACACTACGTCTGTATGATATCAACACCTTCCAGTGCTTCGTGTCCTGCAACCCCCAGGACCAGCACACTGATGCCATCTGCTCTGTCAACTACAATGCCAGTGCCAACATGTATGTGACAGGCAGCAAGGATGGCTGCATCAAACTCTGGGATGGGGTTTCCAACCGCTGCATCACCACCTTTGAGAAGGCACACGATGGAGCTGAAGTGTGTTCTGCTATTTTCTCCAAGAATTCTAAATATATCTTGTCCAGTGGCAAAGACTCTGTAGCAAAGCTCTGGGAGATCTCCACGGGGAGAACGCTGGTCAAGTACACAGGTAAGTGTCAGGTGACCTTCCCAAGCACCTTCTATTCCAGGTGGAAATACTGCCAGAAGGATAATCATCCCTAAAGGCAATGGGAAACAGCTGGTTTGAGGATAAATTGCCCCAAATGGTTGAAAACTCGCTAGACTCATAGAATAATTAGAATTATTAGAGTAATTCCAGGAGAGAAGCTGTGATTCCAGTTTGTCGCTCAGGGTAAATGAGTAGATTTTGGAGACGTCTGACCTCATCATTCCATTGCTTCGGGGAGAAGTTAACACTAAATTGGGGAAATTTAGTGATAAAATTGGGGGGAATAAGAAGGAAACATTGAGCCTACTTCAGGGCAGATGATCTAACCACTAACTGGTGCAGAGACACTGGCAATACTCTGAAATGTGGCTCCAGCTGGTTTGCTTCTGGTTTTGCTTAGTTGTGTGCAGGGTAGTCACCCCTGGAGCCTGCTGGCAGTGCTATGCTTGGCTCTCAGCAGGACTTGGGGAATGAGGGAGGATGTAGGAGCTTTGCCTGTGACTGCAGTTCTGTGCAGGGAGAGGCTTTGGGGGCAAACACTGATGTGCTCAACAGTAGGAGTGGGAGCATAAAAGAGGTGTTCAATGTCTCAGCCTTTGGGCAGTGTAGGTCCTTCTGTGCACTCCAGCTCTCCTAGCAGGGAGCAGCATCTTCCTGGGAGACCTGGGCAGGATCCCAGGTGGGATCAGGTGTGTGCAGTGCACAATATAGCAAACAGATGTTGTCTGAAGGTATGGCCAAGGTAGGTCATGCAGTGTGATATTTACAGTAAAAAGCCCTCAATGGTGATGAGACTCTGTGTTCTCCTATCTGTGCTGTTTTCCCTTGGACACAGCTCAAAGCCTCAGGCAAAACACCAGGCAGAAGTGCTCCTGGAGGTAGATGGTGGCACATAGTGGGGGGTTGGGCTTGGCACAGCTGTGTGGGTGCTCCTTCCCTCCTGATTACCATGTATCATGTATAGGTGCATGGTAATCAGGAGGAATTTCTCCATGGAAAGGCTTGTCAGGCATTGGAATGTGCTGCCCAGGGAGGTGGTGGAGTCACCACCCCTGGAGGTGTTCAAGGACCAACTGGACATGGTCTGGTCTAGTTGACAAGGTGTTGATGGTTGGATTCTGATCTTGGAGGTCTTCTCCAACCGTAATGATAAAACCACAAAAGAATATTCATGATTGCCTCACCTGTTGCATGTGGAAGTGGGAGGATAACAGTGAAAATCAAAGAGAGATTAAAACTCACAGGAAATTTATTCTTTGGCCACTGAAAACTTGCTAAAACTTGGTATTTTGCTGCTGTGTTTAGGTGCTGGTTTGAGTGGCCGCCAAGTGCACAGGACACAAGCTGTCTTCAACCACACAGAGGATTATGTGCTGCTCCCAGATGAAAGGACCATAAGCCTGTGCTGTTGGGATTCCAGAACTGCTGAACGGAGAAACCTCCTGTCCCTGGGGCACAACAGCATCGTGCGCTGCATCGTGCACTCCCCCACCAACCCAGGCTTCATGACCTGCAGCGACGACTACAGGGCCAGGTTTTGGTACAGGAGGTCCACGACAGACTAAGGACACTCATCATCCACTCCTCGTGTTGATTGTACTGCCACCAGCTGCCTCCACCAAGCCATTCTGTGTCTGAGTGTGATTCTGTCAAACCTGGCAGAAAAATAGTGACTTACTAAGGCTCTTTGCCCCACACTAATTTTTTTTATTAGTGTGTGTGGTTGAATTTTTGTAGGTCATCTCAAATTGTGCTCAAGGGAGGGAGTGGAGAGTGAAATGATCCTGGCAGGAAGGACTAGACTTGCTCTTCTGCCTTCCTGAATCCCTCAACATGTGACTTTCTTGCTCAAAGTGGCCAGAACGAGCCAGTTCTGCTCTGAGCTGTGTCTGTGCAATCCCACTGAGGTCTGTGAGAGAATGGATTACACAAGGAGCAGCAGAACTTGGCAGATACTTTACTGAAGCCTTAAGCTGCCTTCAGCCCTGATTCACTCTGTGAAGCTCTGGTTTGTGTCTCTCAGTCTGGGGGTTTGGTGCATTCCTTCTGTTTTTCTTAGTTGGCCAAGTGGATCTTCAGTTCTGAGCCTCAGTTGTGCTGTGAGAGGTCAAACAGGGTTTGAAACTCGTTACATAAATACAAGAAAATGTCTTGTGGTGTTAAAGCTCAGACTTCATCTCCTGTTGGACCTCAAAATAAATTCCTGTTTTCAAGGAATAGGGACATTGTGACTAAAATGTGACTGTGCTGCAGCAGGTGAGAATGAGAATAATTCTGCCTGAGACCTTTAGTATCTCCTCAGAGAAACGTTGTGCATATGAATTATTGTATCTGTACCTCAGAAACATCAGTTTTGTTTTATTGAGGAGTTTTCATGTTTCACAGCACTTGAATTACATATTTTCCATTACTCAAACCCCAGACTTGCTGTTTCTTCCCCCTGTTATGTCCCAAGTGTTCCAGACCACCTCCTGTTTAGCAGATCGTTAAGAAACTCTGCTTAAACCTTCTGGAAGTTGGAAAATTCACTACATATTTGCACAGAGAGCTGTCTGAGCTGTTTGAACTACATTTTCTCTGCCATCCTTGTGCAGAGCTCTTGGGCATTGCACCTGGGAGGCTCTTGGGGTCACTCAGCTCAGCTCTTGCCTTGCTGAGGATTTTTAACTGTCAGATTGTTGTTCCTGCTGGATTAACTCCCCACTACACTGATGAATTGTCAAGGGCTGAGGAGGGGACAGGTTTTATCTGTATTTAAATAAAGATTTGCCTTTTTAAAAGTTTTCTATAAAGAAGGGAATGGATTTGTTTTCTGTATAAGGAAGGAGGAATGGATTGAAGATGGAAGGATGAGTTTTTGGGGATGTTGAAGCTTGTATTATACCTGAGTCAGGTTCAGATTGACAGGACAGAATATGGAATGGTTTTGCTAACAGAGAGAATGACATTTCATCTTCTTTTTCAGAGCTCTTTCTAGGCAAAACATTTCTTGGGCTCAGCAATCCTTTTTATTCCTCCTCTGCCTCCCTGAGAGGTTCTAAAGCTTTAGAATCATTCATAGGCAGCAAGAGAGAGCAGGTCTGGAGGGTTTGTTTGAGGAGAAATGAGGAGGAGCTGAGCTCAGAGGGAGGGAAAGGGAAGTCCTGGCAGAGTGGTGGATGTGTGCTGGGTGGCAGCAGCCCTGCCCCACTGGCAGCAGGGGCTGTTGGGTTTGCAGTGACACTTTTCATCCATCCTGTTAAAGCAGCTGACTGGAACTGGCACGTTTGTTACTTGGTGTTTGGAATCCTATCACTCCTGGGGGGTTATGTATCCAAACACTGCTGTGCTTGGTGGGCTAAGTGTGTGAGTTCTCACCCCAAGCTTAATTCTGTGCTCCTTTAACTCGCAGGGTAGAGGTTACCTTGCCTACCAAACCCATCCTGCCATTGGCACTGCAGTGTTACCTATTGTGTCTCATCTTCCTGAGGACACAGCTTTGGGGTGTTCTGCTTAATAAGGGCTGAAAGAAACCTAACTCGCCCTACTGAGGTAGAACACAACCCCAGGGTGAAATTCAGTGTTCTGGGCCAGGTTGGATGGGGCTTGGGGTCAATCTGAGCTAGTTGAAGGTGTCCCTGCCCGTGGCAGGGGTGGAACTGGATGATCTTTAAGGTCTTTAAGGAACTGGAGTGACCATTCCTGATGGGATCCTCCTTCCTGCTACAGCCAGAGGAGCTTCACCCCTCAAAGATGTATTTGCTAATTGCAATTCAGTTGCCTTTCACGAGTTTCACTGTACCTCTTGGTAACTCCATCCCAGTGAGCTCCTCCACACTTGGGGTTTATCACCTCAGGAAAGTTTCCATCACCTTTCTAGAGGTAAGTTGTATCTATCTGATGTGTAACCTGCTCTTGCCTGTCCTCAGGAGAAGGTATGGAATCATGGCAAGGTGATGCCACAGACAATGTCAAGTCAGAAAACCTCTGGAGACAAATAATTGCTGGAGTTCTGTACCTTCCAGCATTCCTTGGCACGCTGACCTGGCAGTCAGTGGCACATAGCTCTGGAATTAGGCTTCCTTGCTGTCTACTGAAACAGACTTCAAACTTTCTATTTGAGAGGGAATATTGGTGTGGGATAAATGTTTCTTATCTCCTGGGCATGAAGGTTGTCTTTGGCCCAGAGCTGCCCTGAGAGATGGGATCTTAGGGAAAACTGAAGGGCAATAAGGGAAAAGCAGTTCAAATAACTAGTTCAGGTTGGGAAGTTCTCCAAGTGGCTATAAGAACCTCCAGACATGCAGCACAAGTGCCCTGGAGACAGGAGCCGAATCCCACAGGTTTCCTGATGCAGGCAGGAGGAGCCTGGCCCAGCTCACCCACCCCAGGGACACCTCAGGCCTTCCCAAACCCCATCAGCTGCCCTGAAAGCTGAGACACCTTGGAGAGCCATGAAAACTTGGCTTGCAAATCCTGGATTTACATGATCATGGCAGTCACCTTCTTATCAAGGCCTGTGCAGCTCCTCGTGGTGCTGTTGCCTTGTATTCACTGCGTTGCTAAAACAGGAAACAGGAACACCAAGCGAACCAGAGGGTGACACTTGTCACTGCGGTTTAATTGCGACAAGTTGGTGACAGAGAGATCAAGGAAAATTCCACTTGCAGACAGACATATTTTTTCCTTCACTTGTAGTCACTAACAGGGCTTTTCTGGTTTGTGTGCTGCCTACTTTTTACCTTCTCTGTTGTCAGAGAAAGTATCTTGCAAGAGAATCTTCTCTCCAAGCTCCTGAGTGCTGTGAGAGTCAGAGCTGCTGGAGAGGCTTTCCCGACGTGCAGTTCCTGATTCACAGCTCAGCTCCTCATCCCACCCTGACTGCACTGCTCAGGGTGGCTCTGCTGGGGAATAACAGCAATGGATAACAACACACAGATCAACGGAACTGCAAAGGTATGTCTGGGGTTTGGGTATGGTGTGGAAACCAGAAAGGGTCCTAGAGAAGGGTGTGATGTTTGAGTTCAGTGGGATGCTTGGTGCTGTTGGAAGTAGCACTGCTGAGGCATCTCCAGTGCTGTGTCCAGCTCTGGCACCTCACTGCAAGAGACATTAAGGGGCTGGAGGTGTCCAGAGATGGGAATGGAGCTGGGGAAGGGGCTGGAGAGTCACTCATGGGCAGAACAGCTGAGGGAGCTCAGCCTGGAGAACAGGAGGCTCAGGGAGGACCTTCTTGCTCTTTACAACTCCCTGACAGGAGGTTGGAGGAAGGTGTGGTCAGGCTCTGCTCCCAGGGAACAAGGGACAGGACAAGAGGAAATGTCCTCAAACTGCACCAGTGGAGGTTCAGGTTGGACATCAGGAAGAATTTCCTCGTGGAAAGGACTGTCAGGCATTGGAAGGTGGTGGAGTCACCATCCCTGGAGGTGTTCAAGGAATGACAAGACATGTCACTCAGTGCTCTGATCTAGCTGACAAGGTGGAGATGGGTCACAGGTTGGACTTGATGATCTTGGAGGTCTTTTCCAGCCTAAATGATTCTGTGAGGTGTTTGGTTTTTGCATCTCGAGGGGGATGAAAGGCTCTTAGGGTGTTCATGGACCTGTTGCCTCCCTGTGCTTTTTGTTGTGACAACACTATTGACTGAAGAAATGTCTTCCTGGGGAGGACTGTGAATACAGCAGGAGTCCTAACCAGCAAAAAGCTGTGAATAAACACATCTGTGGAATAACAAAGCTATACCTTTGAGGTTCTACCTGTCTCACTGCTGTCCTGGAGTGCCAGCAGAGACACAGTCACACTGCCAGAGACAGTGACCTGTGGCATGACAGATCATTTCTCCATGCCACATGCAAAACTGAAGCTCTGTGTTTACTTTGAAAGCCTGGAACTAGTTTATAAGTGGAATTTCTTGACATTTATTTGTGTATTCATATTACATCTAGTTTGATTTTATATATATCCATAGATAAAATGCTGCAGTGTGAGGGTTAGAGAATGCTGAACTCTTCATGCCAAGTCAGTGCCTTGATTGTCTTACTGCCTGTGAGTCTAATAAGCAATAGAACTGTGACTTTTATCTTGGATGATGATCTCAGTGTTTGCTGTAAATAAAATGTCTCCTGAAAATATGATAGAAAATATAGTGGGGGGAAGCTTAGTATGAGCTCAGTGAGTCATGTTTTCACACTCATAATTTTCCATCGAGGCTTGTAAAGATTAGAGGACTATTTTTCACATTGAGTCATCAGTAATTGAGGCAGGACACTTTTCATCTCTATACAGGGAAATTTGCTGTTTCTGAGTATGATATTTCCCATTTTCTGGACTGTATTGTCAATGGAGAGCAAATGTCATGGTAGCAAAATGATTTCCTGTCCTGATGTGGATCAACTCACCAGTAATCACTGGAAAAGATTTATTTCTGCTATATCATTCATCAACTGTTTGTCAGGTTCCTACTACCCTGGCAGTACTGCTTAGTATCTTATTATGCATATGAATATTATGCTTAATACCAAAATACTAAGGATTTGTTCTTATTCTACCCTTGGCTCCTTGAAGCTCCAACCCTTAGCAGTGTTGG